TAGTGATGGGACCTCCTGCATTATTAATAATTAATAATGAATTATTAACAAATGGTCGATTTATTAACTAAAAATTACTTAGTAATGTATGGCGCAGCAAATTGGGTATGGCGCAGCTAACCTGATTAGTACCGCGCGAATGAAAAATATTCCAATATTTTTTTTATATGATTCACAAATACATACGACTTTTGCCATGCACTAAATGCCATTTTATTAAATGAGAATATATAAAATTATAGTTTCGGAAGGTAGCTTTTTTTTTTTTTTTTTGCGTAATTAGCAAGACAAAAAATTAATTATATGTGCAAACACATTTATATTTTAACTTTTGGTAATAAGTATGAGCATTACGAGAATTTAATTGCCGGGTTAATAAACATACTATAGTATTCATTAATAGAATTGTAAGTGAAAAAAAAAATAGTTGTTACGATAAAATATACCTAAAATCAACGAACTGTATAAAAAGAAAGGTAATAACTGCTTATATCAAAGTCATCAATGAGATTAATGTATTAAACGACCAGGTTAATAACCTCTGTATTTGCAACCTGTAGAATATTATAAAAATCTTTATGAATTTAAATTATAGGATTAAATTTTATCTACGTACCTGTTCAATTTTCAGAACTTACTGGCTCAAATTAAATTCTTTCAAAATGTTGTTTGAAGCAATTTTTTCTGTAAAAAAAAAAATGTACCAATTTTTTTACTTTGAATAAAGCACGCACATACGCACTTTGGATATAACCCAATGAGTTGAAATTTATTTATTTACTATTATTAATAAGTAACTAAATTTTATACATACGATTGACTAATATAAACATTTAATGATCTTTCAACAATCTTAGAATCAAATATATCCATGAGTGCTGGAATAGTTTCTTCGCTATCTAAGTCAAGTACATGAATATCATCTATTAATTTTTCAGAAATTTGATTTAAATTTACTATAAATTCGTCTACATCATCATTACCATCAATATAGTCATCGCTACTATCAATATAGTCATCGCTACTATCAATATAGTCATCATTATCTAAAATATTACTTTCTATTTCATTTAATTTTTGTGCTTTTTTTTCATTTTGTTTTGACGTTAGATTTATATACCAAGAGACCTGCGCCATTTTTGCAGCCCGTATTGGTGATAACCTGTTACGACGTTCTGTATGTATATTACCTAATAAAGACCATACTCGTTCGGAAGTTGCTGAATTAGGTGGAATTGATAAAAGACGGCATGCAAATTCACTTAAATTTGGAGCCACATTTAACATAGTGCGCCAATATCTTAATAGAAATCTTGTAAAACTTGGATTTTTGATAGAAGATGCAGAAAACGGACCCTCGTGATTTGAGTAATTTAACCATTCATCAATAAATTTGTCTTGATTATAATCCGGATAAAAAATACAAAATAAGCCGTATGCAGCTTCTTGAATGTATAGAAGCCATGTTGGATTTAATCCTTCACCGTGATGATATGGATGAAGAAACCAGGTAATTAAATAAACTGGATTGAATATTTTTTGCCAACGATTATTAATTTCTATAATTAAAGAATCCTGAAAATCATTATTAGTAAATGTACTTTTGTTAATAACTCCACGAAGCCATGCCC